GCCCGCCAAACAACAATGGCAACTACAACTGAAAAATAGCCAGGCATTGTGGAGGGTGCCTGTAGTCCCAGTTACTTGGGAGGCTGAGGGAAGAGAATTGCTTAAGCCCAGGAGTTGGAGGTTGTGTGAGCTGTGATGCCATAGCACTCTACCCAGGGCGACAGTTTGAGGCTGTCTCAAAAAAAAAAAAATGTACAAAGCATTTGCAAATAATTTAATGGAAATAAATATATTAGAAAAAACGACCCGCCTATAGTCCCAGCTACTTGGGAGGCTGAGGCAAGAGAATCGCTTTAGCTCAAGAGTTTGAGGTTGCTGTGAGCTATGAGGCCATAGCACTCTACTGAGGGCAACATAGTGAGACTGTGTATCAAAGAAAAAAAAAAGGAAAGGAAACAAATGAATAGCCACTTTGAACAACTTTTACATACATTAAACAACTAAACTATTCTAAAAGAACATTAAAATTAAGCCACAGCTGCAAATTTCTGTGTGACGTCCCCTTATAGGTTCTTCTATAACTGTTTTTAAATGTTGGTAGGTGCGATAGCGCGACTATAGTTTCAGCTACTCAGGAGGCCAAAGAAGAGGATTACCTGAGGTCAGGAGTTCTAGGCTGTAGCGTGCTGTAATCGCCCCTGTGAATAGCCACTGCATACCAACTCGAGCACCACAGCGAGCAACCATCTCGAAAAACAAAAAAAGCCAACTCGCTAACACACACACAAAAATACGATGCAAACATTCATCAAGGGCTCTGTCCTGTAGAGGAAGCTACCTACATGATGCATGATTTTAGGCTCCCGTAAAAGAGACCTTTTACCTCTATAATACCTTCTTTGCAGATGCTGCAATTCCACAGCAGCGTGCTCTTCTTTAGCGTCCCTAAAAGTGGCTGTAGTAACTCTGGTCCTGCCTGCCCGCTTTGTAAACTGAGGAAGGCTTGGAAAACCGTTAAGGGACCACATAGAAATGAGAGATTAAGGATGGGACCCCACGGGCAAGAGAGGCTTTGTGCAAACTACACGTATTCGTCCGTGAAGTCACCGAGCTCCCAGCAGCACCTCCGGGGGTACTAAACGCTTACACACAGTTTTCCGGCCACGAGCCCGAGGGCACACCCTCCGTGCCCTGCCACGTTCTGATAGGCCCGCGAGACCGACGCCGCAGAGGCAGCTGTGATTTTATTCGTCAGCCCGCAGGGCCCTCGCGGGGCTTCCTGGGAGATGTAGTCCCAGGAGTCGCCGGCTCTACCACTGGTAGGTTTGACGTTGAGGATGTCGGCCTTGGGAGCTGACTACAGTGGAAAAGCGGTGGGTGTGTTTGGAGAGGGGGGTGGGGAAGTGCCGAGGATTCGGGTGAAAATACTCAAGGGCTCGAAATGAAAGATGAAAGGGTTGCGGGCTCGCAGAGAGGTACGCAGCTATTTCAAATTGGGGCGCAGAGCGTTGTGGTGGGGGGCGGGGGAGGTCGCAAGCTCCGCGGCCAATCAGACCCTAGCAACTGTTGCCAGGCCCCTAAGGCCCTGCCCCCCCACCCAAGGAGGGGGAGGAGCTCGAATTGTTTAAATGGCTTTGGGGTAGGGTGGGAGAGAGAGCTGCTCCTTTGGCTTCTCCGCTGTAGTGATGCTGTGCCTGCGGCTTCGCCGGGGTCTGTGGGCTGCCGCGTGACGGCGTTGGGCTGGGGTTCTGAGCCCGTGCCACGTCTCCCCGCCGATTAGTCCGCACTCCCCTCGCCTCCAGGAGCGGGCGCCTCCCACCCGCTGCGAGGCGAGGACCTCCGGGATTCCTAGAGAGGACTCGGAAGTGTTCTCTGGGGTGGGATGTAAGGTTTAACCCGGTTGGATGGGGAAAGCTTGGACTTGCTTACTTCCGGCGTGGAAGTGTTGGCTTCGGTTTTCTCCCGGTTTTAAGGAAAGTCCCTCCTTCCCACCCTTGGCTGCGAGGAACTTGATTTTTCAGGAAAGCTCCTCGAGACTGGGCCTTGAGGGTAGAGATAGGCTTTGTGTCCAGACAGAGGTCTTGTCCCTAACCTTGAGTGGGCGGATCTTCCTGTCTGCGGGTCAGGGGCGATTCCAAGGAACCTAGGTCCAGATCTGTACCGATAGCTCCACTTCTCCTCGGGATCAATGAAGTCTCCCCGTAGCTTGTCAAGCTCTTGTAGCTTGAAGGGCAGCACCAATTCTGACGATTGTAATATTTTTCACTCCTATTCTGAAAAGTTTGGCTTATGATTAAAGAGGAGCGGCTGCATCTGGACTAGTTAGTAAGTCTTGTCCAATTATTTATATGAACTGTAAAGTTCACCTCTAAACTGTTTTAGGTCAGGCCTGATGTCAAATTTTTATGGCTCTCCTTTATATTTCTTTAAGTATTGGAGATATTCTCTGTTAATAATCATTTTATGGGTGGAATGACGACTGCCTTGTAGTCCATATTTTTTTGTTGAGTGTCCATCTCTAGTATAGATGATCTCTTTGCTGTCTCTCTTTGCTAATAATGATTCCCAATACATCAGTAGGTTGTGCTCTACTGAAAGCATCCTTCAGATCTTAAAGAGGAGGAAACAAGTTCGTTCAGTATATATAACACAGATAGCCTCAAGAAACTGCCCTGTGAGTTGAAATGATAATGACAGGATCTCGGGAAGTTATAGACTTAGACCCTCCAGCTGAGACGTCACAAGAGCAAGAAGACCTTCTAATAGTAAAGGTGGAAGAAGAAGACTGCACCTGGATGCAGGAATACAATCCGCCCACGTTTGAGACTTTTTATCAACGCTTCAGGCACTTCCAGTACCATGAGGCATCAGGACCCCGGGAAGCTCTCAGCCAACTCCGGGTGCTCTGCTGCGAGTGGCTGAGGCCTGAGCTGCACACCAAGGAGCAGATCCTAGAGCTGCTGGTGCTGGAGCAGTTCCTGACCATCCTGCCTGAGGAGTTCCAGGCCTGGGTGAGAGAACATCGCCCTGAAAGTGGGGAAGAGGCAGTGGCTGTGGTAGAAAACATACAGCGAGAACTTGAGGAACGCAGACAACAGGTAAGTCAGAGAAGAGACGTGAACAATGAGGAAAGAGAAGAAGCAGTTAAGGAGCTGCTGAGCAGGGGTGAGATTCTGAGCCCGTTAGTGCTTCATTCATATTCTTTTGTTCTCCTGGGATTAGGTACACTGTGGAGATTTCCTGCCACTCCAGCAAAAGAGAAGCAATATCCAGTATGTTAACCTGTAGAAGACAGTCTGGGATCTTATTTATTTTGGGGGTTACTGTTTTTATTTTCTGAATGACATGACACAAAATTCAAAAAGTTTCACAAAGTTGTAATGAAAAGTAAGTTTACCTCTTTCTAATTTTGCAGCTGTCCCTAGTTCTCCGCAGGAGAGGCAACCACTGTTACATGATACCTGTATATCCTTAGAGAGATACACTGTGTTTTGTTATAGTGGTATAAGCATATATGTACATGACATGTTTTTAGAAATACACACAAATGTTTTGAAGTTATTGTGCACTCTGCCTCTTTTTTTCCCCATTTAATATATCTTGGTTTGTTCATGTCAGTGCAGCCAGAGCTGCCTCATTCTTTGAATCCACATTGTATTAATTCCTATTAAAGGAGTTTAAGTTGTTCCTTTAGATTGTTTCTAAGTTTTTACTATAACAAACTTTGCTGCAATGAATTCCCAACATATATGCTATATGTAATTTCAATAATTGTAGAATGAATACTTATAAACCAAATTGTTGGCTCAGAATTACATTTGTAATTTTGATGGCTGTTGACAGATTGACCCCCATAGACATTATACCAATTTATATTCCCACCAGCAAAGTATGAGAGTAATTGTTAGGCCATATCTTGATAGCACAATGTTATCAAACTTTGTGATTATCACCAATGCAAAAGATGTAATAATTCCATTTCTTTGCAATTTTAATATGCATTTCTCTTGTGAATTTGACCACTACATATTTTTAAGGGCTATTTGTACATCCTTTTGAATTATCTGTTTATATTCCTTACCTATATTTCTTACTTCATGGAAACAGTAATCATTATGTCTGTCATGTGAGCTGCAAGTGTTATTTTTCCAGTTTGCTGTTAGTCTTTGTGTATGGGATTTTTGTTTGGCAAATTTTAAATTTTATTTTTTTATTTTATTCTTTTTAGAGACAGGGTCTCTCTCTGTCACCAGGCTGGAGTGCAGTGGGATGATAAGAGCTCACTGTAACTTTAATCTCCTGGGCTCAAACAGTCCTTTTGGCTCAATCTCTCCAGTAGCTGGGATTATAGGCATCTGTTACCATGCCTACTTGGGAGGCTGAGGCAAGAGACTCTCTTGAGCCCAGGAGTTGGAGGTTGCTATGAGCTGTGATGTCACAGCACTCTACCTAGGGGGACAGCTTGAGGCTTTGTCTCAAAAAAAAAAAAAAAAAAGCTGCTGTTGATGGGAATGTTTGGGCCTTTCTATTACTCTGTCAGGGCACAAAAATAAAAGTTCCTGGTGACATTACATTTATTCTTTTAACCTAATTTGGGACACTAATGGAAAAATTTTTCCTTACTGTTTTATAGAAATAGATATTCAGAAGC